GAGTTCTGAAAGGAAAACTCTCAGTTCGCACAAAAAACTCCCTCGAGAGCTTCCCGCACATGCTCTTCTCTCAGGCAGAACACGCACAGATCGTGTGAATCCTCCGGTGTCAAATATCTGGACACAAGTCGGCACACTCGCGCAAAGTGTTTCTCCACGTCTCTGCGCGCTCAATCGTTCAATACTATCACACAGACAAACAGTCCCTGAAGACGAAAAGATGTTGTCACGGTTTCAAGGCGCCCTTCTTATACATCCAGATTGATGCGCTCATCATTCAAGCTGATGAGGCACGGGCTGTCGCCGGTCAACCTGATTACTGTGAGTTGATATTTGATTTCAGACACCTGTCACGCCTGAGGCGTTCCCCATTGCGTCATTTGACGTATTGTTGAGTTCCCTTCGAAAGGGAACAGGTCATTGTCCGTGGTACGAGATAATGCAACCAGAAAAAATGAAAAGTCAAGAATGTTTTATTATTACTACTCACTTTATGTCACGGTATATACCACCTTTTGAGTATATTCATATATAATATGTTATGAAACTAAAAGAATGAAGGAAAAGGATTAGAAGGAATGTAAGAAGAGGTTAAAAGTAAGTTCTTACTTTAAAGAAATGATACAGTATGAGGGATTGAGATGAAAATGTTTTCATTGTCATTGTTTTTTTTTTTACATATATACAATTTATACTCCTGAAAGTAGTATGTAGAAGTGCATTTAAAAAAAGAGAGAAAAATAAAGAGAATGGTGATATTTTACATGGATGGAACATGTACATGTGTGTAGTAGACAGAGGGACTATACGTGAAGCGCGGTCACCGATTGTCAAAGAAGGCAAGGGCAGACTCAACTGGTAGTTTAAAAACCCGCTGTCTGCTCCAACACCAGATAGCGCTCCAAGGCAACTTGAGCACCTCTGGCAGCGATGGAGCAACCCAGATAGCACTCCAGGCCACCGGAAGCGCCTGCGAAGTTCCTCTGGCACCGTGGGACAAGATAAAGATTCAAAAATGCAGGGAAACACAAAGAAACATGCCCCTTAAGCTGATGATGTAAAAAGGAGGGTAGGATTGTTTACTCCACTCTAGTCAATGGAGGGTGGAGATGTTTGGTCCTGCTTCTCCTCCAGGGTGCACCTATGTGATGTGGGTTAGATTGGTAAAAGGTGAATGGTCTATATTGACCATATTGGAAGAAGGAAAGAAGACTGACTCATAAAGATGCATCCTGGGCACAATTATTGAGTGTGGGACTAGAGAAAGTCCCAAAGGAGGGCTATGTTGGAGAATTCTGCTTGTCCTATGTACATGTGACAAAAGAGTGCTGTACATGTGAAAGAAGCGTGCATGTGATGTAATGCCAAGCAGAAAAAACTAGGGTCTTAGGGCACATGAGGACAGGGACAAGAGAGTGGAAAAGTACCCAAAAACACTTGTAGCACAGATGCAGGTATTGGAAGGCACTGGGAGAGATACAAATTGTATACAATGTAACAATGTGCCACTGAAAAAAAACATACTGAAACAAGGAGCCCATTGTGTAAAAAGACACTAATACAGATGTCCATTTTTTTAAAGAAAGGATACGCATGCGCATAGAAGGCTGTCCCAATAAAATGATGATGCAGGTGTTTTAATTTGGGAGGAGTAATAAGGAGGAGCAAAGAGAGAAAGATAACAATTTGATCGCTAATTGGGTACCACAAGGTATAAGAATGTGTGCAGACCATTGTAAGATCAGATGACTGGCTGACATCTCACTTTGTTGAATTGCTCAATAAAGTTATTCTTCTGAGACCCGAAACCTCGACTCTGCACAATTTCTTCAAGACCTGAACCAGACTTTGATGATTTGAATTGGGACTGGAAATCTGCCACAACACTACGGGGCCATAACATAAGCTACAAGGTAATGGAGCATTTTATACATTGTTGTGTTTCTTTAGAAATAAATAAAGGACAAATGGGGTCTTCAAACGCCTCAGATGTAAAGTTATTCACTGTCAAAGTGACGCCAAAATGAATGGGAGTCAATGGAAATGCTAACGCAAGTGAAGTTCTGCTACAAGATGGCAGCTCCAGCGAGGCTTCAACTTCGGTCGATGGATTACCCCCTTGGGAGGGATATTGAGAAGCATCCTCTGTATGAGGATCTTCTTCTTCATCAGTGGTTTTTATTGGTAGTTTGCAAACAAAGTGCATTTCCGCCATCTTATGGATTGAGGTGTGAACTCATTTGGGATGTCATTTTATATATGTTACTAAACAATAAATAAATAAAATAATAAAACATAAATTCTTAGTTTCTTTCATAAAGTTCAACATCTTTAATTATAGATTGCGTGCCAGGAAAACTCAATACATTTTTTAAACTCAATACATTTTCCCTCTCTAGTTATTTTTCTTTTTCACGGTACTTTCTACTCATCAAGAGCATATTATGTTTTACATGTCTCCACAATGAATGCATAATCCAGTCCGGTGTTTTCCTATTAACATCAGGAAGTTTACTTATCTTGTGTGCCCTATTCTCAGCCACATAAGCATAGTTTCCTCCTGTCTTCTTATACTGTTCTTTTTAACCATCACTTCTTTCTGGATGCTTTATAAATGTCTTCATTTCTCTTCCTGATCCATCCATGTATCCTGCCACATTTTATTTATAATATCTTTTAATAATAACTTGAATTCATGAATTCTAATTTGCTAAGTTTATATTCTCTGCCTTCAGGGCTTCTTTTGCTAATGTGTCCACCTTTTCATTTCCCTCAATACCCACATGCGCTGGAACCCAGGTAAACTGGACGTACAGTTTTGGTAGAGTTAATCTAAAATTAATTGATTTGTTTCATCCAAAATATCTTGCGCACATATAGATTTTCCACTCTTGATAGGAAGGACATGGAATCATGTTAGAGACCTATCCCCGATCCAAAGGCGCAGGGAAGAGACCCTCTCATTCACTGGGGTAAATCTCATGGGGGGCTATAATCAAACCCACACCAGCCCGCCGCCGCATGGGCAACTCCAGAGTGGTAGAGAGTCCATCCTCTTAGAACCAGGAACATGTCCCGTACATCCTGATGTACTTGGTATATCGTAAGAAGGATGCCGTCTACGCTAATATTAGTGTCTCTGTTCATCCAGAGGACCCTCTATGGTGGACCTGTGCCTGGACCCATCCCAACTCATTCAAAGGAGCATTTCACCCATTTCAACGTTAATCTTTATTGAAAGTGGATCAATTTTTGTAATCGAAATGTAAAAGAATTTTTGAATTTGGTGGCCTCTTGACCAAGAAAAGACAGAAGGGGTGCATTTTGTATGTAAGACAACCACTCCCACAATGCACCACATTTCACAGCTCCGCAAGCCACACCCACTAATCTGGAAGAGCGCAAACAGAGAAATCAATGTTCCTTGTTAGTTGGCTGTGGCGAGCAGCACGATGAGGGCGAGTGCAAGGTGAGTGGGTCCCACACCCTTGAATAATAATGAGCTAATGTTTGTAGTCTCTACACTTTAATGAAATGTTACTTCCTGCTTATTATGATGCAAAATGATTTTTACGTCATAATAAGCAGGGAGTAAAACACTTAAAGCTGCCCTATAATGTGAAATTGAATTTATGTTGGCATAGTTAAATAACAAGAGTTCAGTACATGGACATGACATACAGTGAGTCTCAAACATCATTGTTTTCTCCTTCTTACTTAAATCTCGTTTTTGAAAAACACCCCTGAAAAACGTGCGAATCTCCACATAATACCGACTCTGACGTAAAAGTCGGGATCATTAATATGTATGACCCAAAATATTTGCATAATGCCAGCCCATGTTCAGTGACAGACGAGACGGAGCTGCGCAGTCGAAGCATGGCAGTTGATCAGTGTTCGAATCTACACACGAATACAAAAGGATATTTTAGTTCCTTCGTTATTTTCTCTGGAAATTTTCAACCATTTCACCGACGACTTGTTTCCTCAACTTGCCAAGAGCTGGCCTCGGATCGAGCTGATGTGTTGTTGTTCAAGTTCAGACAGGTAATCTTTCACTTTAAAATCGTATCAGTAAGTCAGGCCAGTGATTAAAAATCAACTTCACATCGTTTATTTTAGTAGGATGAAAAAAAAATCGTATTTAAATTGTGAATTATATACAGAAAGAAAGCGATCAAAGAACAATCACAGCGTGAGTTTATCTGGACACTTGCCAAACTCGTTATGAATTCAATGACGCACGTTACACTGCACAACTAAGCTCTAACGTTAACTGTATTTACATCATCGTGTCTGCTGCATTAGAGAGTAACGTTAGAGAGACTGCATTGCAACGATAAGATCTTCATTCTCGAGATCGACACACTCACTGTCCTTTGCTTGCTCAATCACAGCAACACTTTATGTGATGGGAATAGATCTAAATACTTCAAAAACATATCACGATTCGTTGATCTCGATAGCTGTAATAGTAAAAACCTATAATAGCTGTAGTAAAATTATTCGAGAGAGTTTCACATGTCATACATGGCTATTTCATATGCAAGCATGTCAGCCAATCACAGCAGAGGCCGGTTACATACAGCAGACACGCCCCTTCAAACAGAGTGTTCAAAGCAGAGGCTAAAATCAGGCTAGGAAAAATGCCTTTTATTTCTAAATTATGACTATTTTTGATCTAAAAAACATACTAACATTATAAGGGCAACCCAGGAAACATTATAAAATAATTTAAAAAATCAGTATAGGGCACCTTTAAATCCTTATTTCTCCTATCTCATGGGAAAATAAGGGAATAAACCATGACCATTCAAAAATATGACTGAGTTTCTAAAGATACAAAGCTTAATGCAAGTGGGTAAAGTGTCCCTTTAAAAAGAGTCCAATTAACTGAAAAAGCTTAAAAGGTTGTTTTTAGAAATCACAGCAGAGGCCGGTTACACACAGCAGACACGCCCCTTCAAACAGAGTGTTCAAAGCAGAGGCTAAAATCAGGCTAGGAAAAATGCCCTTTATTTCTAAATTATGACAATTTTTGATCTAAAAAACATACTAACTCTTTCCACACTGAGTACAGTCGTACGGCTTCTCTCCAGTATGAACTCGCTCATGTTTTTTCAGGTTTCCAGACCGAGTGAAACTCTTGTCACAATATGAGCACTTGTAAGGTTTTTCTCCAGTATGAATTCTTTGATGCCGTTTCAGATCACAAGATGTAGTAAAGCTCTTCCCACAGTCACAGCACATATAATCTCTCACTTCATTGTGTGTTTTCTGGTGCCGATAAAAACAGTTCAGGCGTGAAAAACTCTTTCCACAGAGAGAACACACATAAGGCTTCTCATCTGAATGGACTTTCAGGTGTGATTTTAGATTTGCTGATGAAATAAAATCTTTACCACACTGATCACAGTTAAATGTTTTTTCTCTAGAGTGAATGAGCAGATGATAACTGAGAGTTGATGATTGAGAAAAACTCTTTCCACACTGAGTGCATGTATACGGTTTCTCTCCAGTGTGAATTCTCATGTGTGTGTCAAGGGTTCCTTTCTTTGTGAAACTCTTCCCACACTGAGTACAGTCGTACGGCTTCTCTCCAGTATGAACTCGCTCGTGTGATTTCAGGTTTCCAGACCGAGTGAAACTCTTGTCACAATATGAGCACTTGTAAGGTTTTTCTCCAGTATGAATTCTTTGATGCCGTTTCAGATCATGAGATGTAGTAAAGCTCTTCCCACAGTCAAAGCACATATAATCTCTCACTTCATTGTGTGTTTTCTGGTGCCGTTTAAAATTTTCCAGCCATGAAAAACTCTTTCCACAGAGAGAACACACATAAGGCTTCTCATCTGAATGAACTTTCAGATGTGATTTTAGATTTGATGATGAAATAAAATCTTTACCACACTGATCACAGTTAAATGTTTTTTCTCCAGAGTGAATGAGCAGATGAACACCGAGATGTGATGCTTGAGAAAAACTCTTTCCACACTGAGTGCATGTAAACGGTTTCTCTCCAGTGTGAATTCTCAGGTGTCTGTTAAGTTGTCCTTCCCATGTGAAACTCTTTCCACACTGAGTGCAGGTGTGCGTCTTCTTAGCTTTTGTTCTTTCAATTGTAAAGTTATGATGTTCCTCCTTCACTTCATTCGGTTCTTGTCTTTGCTCTATCACTCTCACCTGGTCTAAAATACACAGAAATACAGTTAGAATCAGTTCAAGTGAACCCTTATTTAATAGCAGAAAACAACAAAGATCTTTCCTTTGTTATTCTGTCATTCACTTGTTAGTTAAAATTAGTCATAGTTAAAATTAGTTTGACAACTGCTATAAAAGGTTATGATCATTTAGATGTATTTCTCTAACATTTATCATCCATATACTGCTTATTAATTCACATCTACCAAAGTATCAACAATGAAGAATCAAGAATGGACACCAACCTATTTGTTCCTCAGTATCTTCATGTTTTATTCTGGATGGTTCTGGATCGCTCATGTCTTCAATCTCCTCTTTAATAAACTCCATCTTTAACAGTCACACAGATTTCAGCTGCTACCCCTGGAGTTTGTCCTTCTCTTGTAGTATGATGGGAATATTCCCAGTATTTATTGGTGAATTGTTGTGGGAGGGGCTTCACTGCAGGTGTGAACTGTGATCAGTGTGTTTTTATCCAATCTGTATTTAAAAAGTACAGGATCATCATGTTAAACTGAGCAGCCGAAAAACCTCTTTGTCTCCAAAAGTTCCCTGTTTTCAGATCATTCATTATGTAGACGGTGGGCCGATCGCTGCCATCTACTTTAGTTTTTGAAATGATAGATCCTCGAGGATAGAATAGCTGCTTTTTTCACATACTATTAAATTTTTTCAGGAACACGTATCCGTTTGTTGGCAGTATCAAGTCGATCATATTTTTTTGAAAACTTAATTTACGTTTAATAAACGGATTCGGCAAACTCGATGGAGTACTATACCTCTAACCAATCAAACAACGAATTCTATTGTCACGTGACTAATGTGTGCCAATAGTATTCGTTAAAAATATATTACCACGACTGTAACTTAGCACATGTGTTCTCTAGCTAGCCAGCCACAGCAATAGCCATGAGTTCATGACATAAAATGTTCTCTGACAAAATCTACACAATCAAACATTTTCCAGCAGGAATCCTATCCGAAGTCGAGAAACATTAACAGTGGCATCCACGATTCCAGGTGTAACGTAAATGGCTCTGATAAGTGCTGCTGTTTATACCCGTCCTATAACGTTAGCTAATAATGTTAGCTTTGTGCATGAACTCTAAACCGTTAACATATAACATTATTCCGTTTTATGTTTGTATAGTTAAAGTTACTCTTGTTAGAAATTACATACAGTCACAGAGAAGAAAACATTTGTTTTGACGAGATAACGTGTTAGCATGTAAACGTTAGCTAGATGTAATTTTAGCAGTGCATGTTAACGTAAACAGTTATTCTATTAGTTATTCTATTAGGCTGTAGCGCTGTAAATTAGGATGTAAAAGACAATTACTAGACAGAGATTAAAGTGGAAAAGATAACATTTATCATATTAGTTTACATCTACTTACCACATCAACTAATAGCTAGTCATGGAAGAGATAACATGTAACGTTATTAGCTAGCTACATACGATTACGTCAACTACACATTCTAACGTTACTAGCTAGGTATGGAAGAGATAACAAGTATTAACTAAGTTTACATCAACAGCAGATATCCTAATAGCTTAGTCATGGAAGAGATACCACATAGGGCTGGGCGATAATTCGATCTCGATACAGGATCGCTATAAAATTTTGAACGATTTCGATAATAAGCTTGGGACATATTATTCAATATCACGTGAAAAAGTAAGCACAACAGTATCAGAGTCTGCCGTATGCCATTAGGATACGCCCACTTCTCAGTGAGCAGCCGTGGCTACAGTAAACAGAAGGAGATTTGAGAGAGGGAGAAAAGTTTGGAAAAAGGAGAAAAAAAATTAGCGAAACTGAAGTTGAAGACAGCGAAAATAATGCCGAATGTGAAGGCGACATCACTACATCATTCGAGACCGAAGACATTGTTGGGAAAAAAAAAAGGTAACATGACGTCAAATGTGTGGACGTAGTTTGGATATGGCAAAAACGACCAGGAACAGGCGAAGCCAGTCTGCAAAATGTGCCGGTGGTTGGTACCAGCCAGGACGGGGAATACAACCAATCTTTTCCATCACTTGAGACGGCACCACCACAATAATTACTCTGAAAGTGTTAATCTGCGTGCTCAAGCTGGCATGACACCTCACACACAGCCAAGCAGAACCATTACGTCGCCTGTTAGCATTGCTAGCGGGAGACAACAATCCAATCCAGTCGTGCTTTGCAGCCATTGCCCCGTATGATAAAAAAAACAGAGGAGCAAAAATATAACGAGCGCTATTACTTATTGCCTCGCTAAAGATATGATGCCCCTGAGTACAGTTGAAAAAGACGGCTTCAGAAAACTGATCAAAGTGTTAGACCCCATGTACGAGCTCCCTTTACAAAATCAAAAAATGTAAAATACATTGAAAAGTGACCACTGACCACTTGTTTGCACTTGTTTGAAAGCATATAAAACTCTGTATGAGCGAACGAGCGCTGCTCTGAATGTTATTTTGCCAGTTGTGGGCCCTGCTGCTCTCTTCATACAATGTGGGAGTGTAATGTGAATCCTTTGTCTGCATGAAGACCTTGACAAAAATATTTTGAGCTCATTTTTGGAAGGTATATTGTTTAAATTTTCATGTTATTAAACTTTATTCGAAAGTTTCAGTGAATCTCTTATTTCTTCAAGCTTCAGGATATCCCTTACACTGGCAACATCTGCAAAAACTACATATCGTGATAAGAATCGAGATCGATCAATATGGAAAAACATATCGTGATGACATTTTTTTTCCATATCGCCCAGCCCTAATACCATATATTAAATAACATTATATGTATCCTTAAATGTTATACATTTTATCATCTAACAACAACAAATGTAATGTCAACCTTATTTTCAGTTTCATCTACTACAAGCTAATAGCAAGTAGGATAACCACCTCAAGTTACTGCTAAACCCTAATTGTATGTTTTTATCACACAAAGTGGGATTACTGCATCAGACTGATCTCATGAAATGGTGCATGTATGAAACGCCAATGAGTATTTACATTTTTGGCGCGCTATCTTCCCCTACCATCCTAGCAAGAAAAATATCACTCCCAGATGTCTACATTTTGCTTCGTTTCACTCTGACATTTAATGGCGTGTACATACACGCGGACATATAACGGCGTAGATGTACGCGGCCGAGGATACACATGAATAGTTCAAAATGTGTAAAGATAAAACGCCACTTGACTTGTTGAAAGTGGCGTTTATGCTACCCAAAAGTCATGATGCCACGTTGACTGTATGCATTTTAATCTGGGCTCATCTAGTTAGACTTCTTTTTTTTTAAGTGCTTCATAAATGTTAATCCTCATTTATTAGACCATGTAGCAATAATTTTACTAAACTCTTTACAGAGGTGGGCACAACATCAAAATACATCAAAAACTAAACATATTTTCCCACAGCTTTTTGGGCGATTTGGCTTTCTTTTGTATTTAAATTCACCCACTCTAAAAAACATTCAACAAATTTGATCCAACTTGTTAATGAAAAGGGTATGATGTTTGTTGATGTACAGTTAGTAACACATTGAAGATAAAGTGTCTTATTAATGTTAGATATATAGGCCTAAAATAACATTACCGCTATGTCACTCACGCCCATTTCGGGGTCCTAGTCTGACCGTCTGCAATTGGTTAGTATTTTTAATAGGGATGTCCCGATCCGATCCACGGCATCGGTATCGCGCCGATACCGGCCCAGAACGCTAGATCGGAGATCGGAGGGGAGAAAAAAATATGAGCGATATCCAGTTTAGCGGCGCAGCCTGTCACGTGATGATTGTTGTGTTTAAGCACACGCGCGCAGAGAATCACTCTCGCTTTTGCGCACGGATTCTAATGTAATCGGATGATTCCACAAAAGCTGCATTTCAGTCTTTTCAGAAATTCATTGGCTATCAGAAAATAGCGTCATTTCATTCTCTATTGCAACTGGATAGATAAACTGTCACTCAAAGAGAGAGCGAAACTGGCGCGCGTAAAGTTTGAAGCGAAATTTACGCGCGTGACGCGCGTCAGAATCAAAATCCGTTGGCGGTCATTGTTTTTATGTCGACCGAGCATTCATCAAGAGAGTTACCGCTCTGTATTTACTCTGGATAGCAGAACAGCGGCGTGGGGATCATCGTCGCCGTATATTTGTGTCCACCGGACCCTTCGGAGCCGAACCGTTTGGCGAGTTTCACCATTTGCTCGCTCCAGGAGCTGCGCTGGATGACGGCCGCTGTCAGCGGTACTTCCGCCTGTCACGCGCCCAGTTTGATGACCTGTTGTCCCGCATCTGAGCGAGGATCACCCTCGCCCGGCTCCTCATCCATCTAATCTAGCTGTCATTTATTTTTGTTTTGATAATAAATAGAGCCAGCCTTCAAAAGTTATTAACCTGTCCTGTGATTTTTTTTCTCTCTCTCACGTCCAGACACGAATGTATGCATGCACATATGTTGATATATATATATAGCGCGCTATGTATGTTATGCGCGCAGTATGTCTCGCTCTAGATTCCGGGAGATTTGAACTAATTTGCGGGCATCAGGGAGACGCTATCAATATGCGGGAGACTCCCGGAACTTCCGGGAGACTTGGGATGTCTGTCTTTACAACATAATACTATTTCTAGATATGGAATGAATAACATTCAATACAAAATGAACATGTCTCCATATAGAAATAATGTTTTAAGTGATGAAACATTTGCTTTGTTGTGCATAATCCCACCATGCATTTAGTCATATTAACAAAATAATTTATTGAAGCATCCAGACACTTCACCACGTGAGCAAGCAGCTAGGCTCCTGATTGGTTAACGCGGCGCGAATTCACGCCAAAGTTCAGATTTTTCAACTCGGGCGGCAGACGCGAATTCGCGTCAAACGCGTGAATGCACAACGCTCAATTCGCGCCATTCGCGCCAACTTGACGCGCGAATGAGGCGTATTCGCGTCTTCCGCGCCGCGCTCCACGCCTCATTCGCGCCGCAGGAATTTTTCTTGCATTGACTTAACATTGAAATCATTCGCGCCTGACGCCCTATTCGCGTCCGGTGTGAACGTAGCATTAGTGCGTCGAAGTTGTGATAGCGCTGTCGGCAAAACGCGAAATGCTACTATTTACATTCCATGGATGTTTATTCATATATACAATTGTTTTGGACTAAAAACTTCTTCAAATTGGATTGTATGGACGCTTTACAGTGAAACCAAACCATTTTTGTTGGAATGTGGACTAACAGATGGCTAATTGGTGAGTTTCTTCCAGTTTGTGTTGGTTTGTTTTGGCTGTTGGT